CAGAAAACTGGGACCGGCAACGCGTGCGACCCCATTTTCTCATCGACCTGTGACCTACTTTGCTTTCGGGGGACTTCGGGTTGAGAGGGGGTGGCACGTGCAGCGGCTTAACCCGAAATGCATACTGCCCACCCACCACATGCAAAGCAAAATCAAAAAATCTAAACAATTTCTTGTTTTTTCTAAAAAAAAATTCAAGGTTAATACATCCTTGGTATGTGAGCAGCTCGTAAACGATAAGCTTAAAAACAAACAAGACTTAAAGTAATAGGTAATAATAATTGCACAATTAACGTCCATTGCACGTGCCATCAATTTTTTTTTACTCCGTAAACTGGTAATTAACGCTTTTTAATCGACTTGACCTCACAACAAATCATTTCGAACCTAATCCAAGAAAAAAAAACATTCGAACAATCCTTACATTAAAAACTTCAATATAACGGATTAATACGGGGAATACAATCCAGCATTAAATAATAACTAAAACAAGCACTAACACTAGACTTAGAAGTTTCCAGTTCTAGATCTAGTGTTAATTCTACGTTTAGTTCAATGAAAATATACAACAATCTAACGCCGAATAACACCTAAACCAGGAACTAACACTAGACCTACAACTTGAAACATTTGGGTTTAGCCGTCTCAAGAGATGTACGGCTAAATCCGAATATTTCTACTTCTAGGTCAAGTGTTAGTTCTACTTTTTACTACAATAAAAATATACAAAAATCTAATGCTGAACCATCGCCCTTGATTTATACATAGTATAGAGTTTATGAAATTTCACAAATCACAAAAAAAAAGCAACAACCAAGTCATCGACGAAAAATGTACACTATTGAAGACGCAATAGAGTATCTGAGAGTTTATTTAGACATAAGGCTAACATGGAAATATCATATCAATGTGAAGTTAAACCAAGGTTATGGAACACTACAACAGATTTATACATGGTGATTTATTAGCTCACCATCAAACAATGACATATGACATATGATAGCTAACCCAATTACCAAACAAAAAAATGTTATGAACATATGTCCTAAAATTTCAATTATGTATTTACGAAATTATAACACTTTAAAGTTTTCTGCAGCGAATTTATTAATAGTCAGTAAAACCAAACATTCAACAAAAACAAAGTTGTCATAGTAATATGTCAGTTAGCTGTAAGGTTTAATTATTACATACAAGACGAAACTCAAAATGTACGCTTATAGCACTGAAGAGTATGCTGATATAATTTTTGTGAATGGTTTTTGTAATGGAAATGCTCGACAATCAGTACGAGAATATCACGAAAGATTTCCACATCGTCATTTGCCATATTATTCAGTTTTTAGCGATTCTTTCAGAAGACTTCGAGATACAGGTAATCCTGCTCCAGGAAAAGCTATTCGACCACATGTAGGTAATGTAGAGGACGAAAAAGCTGTAATTAATGCTGCCATTGATAATCCTTGCATCAGCACTCGAAGAATAGCACACAACATACATGTAAATCAAAATTTTGCATGGCGCGTATTGAACTGCGAAGTCCTTCATCCGTATCGTAAACAGAACGTTCAAACTCTACAGCCAGGAGATAATCAGCAACGGTTAGCATTTTGTGAATGGTTATTGGAAATGTTCTCTGGACAGATGAATCATGTTTTACACGAGATGGTATAAATAATTACCATAATGAATATATCTGGGCATTACAAAATCTGCATGCGATTAGACCAATCAAATTTCAACAACGTTTCAGCAACAACGTTTGGGGTGGAATATGTACCATGTACTTGATAGACGTTTGAACACTGTAAATTACAGATTTTTTTTGAACAATACACTTTTTGATTTACTTGAAGATATACCTCTTGAGTGGTTAAACCAATATTTTCCAAACAAGTGGATTGGTAATAATGGTCCATTTGCTTGGCCACCTAAATTTCCCGACGTTAATCCATTGGATTTCTACTTATGGGGTCATATGAAAGAAATTGTGTATCAAGTGAAAATTAATACACGAGAACAGTTATTTAACAGAATACAAATGGCTGCCACTGAAATAAGAAATCAACCAGACATTTTAATTCGGCTGAAGAACTCTCTAATTCGTCGTTGTGAAGCATGTATTCTAGCAGAAGGAGGCTATTTTGAACAATGTTTGTAATATTTAGGTGTTTTAAAAAAATTTTGCAGTTAATTATGATATAAAAATTAAAACTTTAAAGTGTTATAATTTAAATAAATAATTAAAATAGGACATATGTTCATTAACATTTCTTTTTTGGTAATTGGATTAGCTATCATATGTCAAAGTTTGATGGCGAGTTAATAAATCAGCCTGTATAGCATTGTAAATACGAAGTCCTCTCTTAAACCTGAATGCACTATACTACTGTACACCTTACTGATTCGTCCAAAGGTAATGTAGCAGAATCAAATCGTAAGAAACTATGTTCACTTCAAAATAAGTTATTGAGAACAGCTGTTTACGCTGAATGGTTCGTCACAAAAGGAAACCACATATGAGCAGATATCCAGAAAAGATTTTATTTCAATTAGCAGATGAGCTTGCCGATGAGAATAAAAAGTCACTGCTAGAATAAAGAGCAACTTAGATCCAAAGTACGTCAAGGAACTTGCTTTATTCACGCAAATGGTGTCAGATAAGGTACTGCAATAATAATAAGACTACTATCATTTACAATATTTGTAAAGAATATATATGCAGAAAACACATGCAGAGTCAAGGACGGTAGAATCTAAGAGGACTGCTATGTCTCGTGAATATGAGCACAGGTTGACGTCCAATTCGTGACGTCACGCATGGGTCTTTTCGTTCCATAAAAAGCAATCTAGCGCTTAATAACAATTAAAACTAGAGTCAAGTGTTAGTTCTCCTTTTAGTACAATAAAAATATACAAAATCTAATGCTGAACTATCGCCCTTGATTTATATATCGTATAGACAACTCACCGTGCAAGAAATCTAACCCATCATGCCCCACTAAGCACAGAAAAGAAAATTGCAACAAGAGTTTCTGAAATTTCACCAGCAACCACCAAAAGCGCAAAAAAGCAACAACGAAAAATGTACACTAATTGATTCATGATGTGCATCGAGGTGCTGTAGGTACGCCAATACATATCTTGGAAAATCAAACCATATCGCAGTAACAAATTTATATAGCTGCAGGGATCATATTGCATATTGCAGACAAGATACCACCAGTGCCATAAATATAGTATTTAGAGCGTAGGTATCAGCCAATTTCTTCGATGTGGTACAAAAAGTGATGAAAAATTACTTGTTGACCTTATTGACTAAAGGATATGGTCCTAAATGTACAATAATCATCGTTTGATCGAAACCTGTAATCATATCTGATCCCAACCTAATCCCCTACCATTCATTGCCTCTCGAACTTTCGATGACATCGCAAGTTTGTTAGAATATATATTGTATCACCACTTATTGTTAGTATGATTTAGTAGAAAAGTAGGAATTTAGTCTTCGTCTATTAAGTCTCTCACAACATTCTTCTTCAAATCATGATGGCAATCTTCAACAATTCTGAGTTTTGAGGTTTCTAATTATTTTCATTAAAAACCATTGGAGATAACTATTGGGTCTAATAATGTTATTCTATGTGTTCTAAAGTTGTGAAACACTATAAGATTTTGGACCGGTGTTGTGGCAATCGCAGTCTGCATGGTTTGCTAGTTTTAGTTTAATGAAAAAGAACTAACACTAGCATTAAACCTAGAACTTGAAACATGCTGGTTTAGCCAAGAGATGTGCGGCTAAACCCGAATGTTTCAAGTTCTAGGTCTAGTGTTAGTTCTACTTTTAATTCAATAAAAATATGGTAAAATCTAGTACTGAACTACCGCCCTTGATTTATACATCGTATAGACAAGTCGGGGAAATCCCCGAGTTTATTAAATAAACTCGGGGAAATCAAGGTTCATAAATTTTATGAACATGGAATAAATCAATTTGGGGAATACCCCGAGTTGGATTCTATCTATAATCGTTAAAGTTTATATTTAAATATACTGATGAATTAAATAGATAATATTAATCTAAATATGACTTAAAAATCGAGGTTTTATTATTTCCATTAAAAATTATATTTAAAAAGTTTTCGAAAACTCAATTGCCACATCTTCAAAGTGAAGACATAAATTTTTAATGGAACGCAGCAAGATGCGTGACCCAATTTCCATTTTAAATACATCGCGTTTTTGTCCCAAGTCTTGCCATTTGGTGTATAGTTGCGTAGTTCAACCAAGTTTATCTAACGGTGACGGCTGTTAATTGAACAATCGCGCAAAATAAGCTTTATGTAGGTTAATAACCGAGATCTCGGAGTCTTAAAGTATTATCATCAAGAAATTTATGACGTTATTTTTTTTAATTAAATTAAATTAATTTAAACTTAATTATTTCTAATTGTGACGTAAGTAACGTGATAAGACTGGTTAAAACAACGTCGTGGACAAAATAGTGTTTTCGCGTCGATTTTTTTTATTTGCTTCGACGTCATCGCGCGGTTACTAAATGAAATCTGGGGAAATAACGGAAAATAAAACCGGTCGGTTTTAGTTTGACTGATATGGAAAGTTGTCTTACGCAAATTTACGATCCTTGTTTGCCGTTTATGCCGATGATTCAAGGGTACTTTCACGGAACTAAATTTCTTTGTTATTTGAGATAAAGAAAACAAGTAAAAAAAAAATCAAACAGAATAAAAAGGTTAATATTCTATTAATATTATAATTTTATTCTTGGAAATAACTTCAAAAAATAAAAATGTTTTGTTTAAACTTTAATCGTAATTTAATTACTCAATTAACAAATAATTATTTGTTAACGCTCAAAAAAAAAGCTCGTTATATTTCAATAATTACAAAAGTCTCGAGTATTTCTTTGTTACGAAAGAAAATTTCTACGATTTCCAAGAAATTGAGTTAAATTCTTTTTATTAATCTATTATACTTACGTCTGTTCCATTGGTATTGATGACGATTTTCACATCATCGGTGACGTACTTTTCTTTAAGTTCACCAGTAACTTCTCTTCCGTTATACGTAACATAAACTTTTTGGCCCTTAACTAGGGTGACGTCGGTGACGTTTCTAAATCCAGGTCCAACCAGGTCATTTTCTGTATACTCCATGATAGTTTTTCCCATGGATCCTTGTCTGTCGTCAAATCTCACGCTGTATCTTGTGTTGGGCGTGAGATGAATGCAGTTTGAATTATCCGGAAATAAAGCGGGAGGCGTTTTGACCTTTTGAATAACGCCGGAATAATATCTGCCGTCGATTCCGGGAGCGCAAACGCGTGTCCCTATGATGGACCTCTTAGCCAATCTTTTTCCCGTCGACATGATCAATTTCAATTAATATTTACGAGATGCAGAAAATTAAAAACGATAACGAAACAAATTATCCGATATCCGAAAAGTCGTCCAAAATAAAGTGAAAAATGTAAAAATGGGGGGCTAAACTACCAGTCTAGTCTTGCACTTTCTATTCGACACCCCGACAAGTTTTCCGTAATCCTCAAACCGGCGAAAAATCATGTCCTTTTTGGTCATAATAGAATACAAAGGATTGGTGTATTATATGTTCCGTTCGGTAGTCGCACTATTGACGCGCCACGTAGAACAGTTGAATGCCGACTGCCGGCCGGCTGCAGCCGTGCGAACAGCTGACTGTCGAAAACCTGCGTTTTCACTCCGTCTTCCTCTTCGCACGAGTATAAAAGTGAGACGATGTCAAAAGGTACGATACTTCTAAAATCGTCGATTGGACGTAGTGTCCTGGGCACAGCTGATGATAACAACAAAACCACGTGACCGCGTGGGGGGAAAGGCGCATTGGCGGATCGAAGTGACCTACATCGGGGCTCGCGGTCTGTAGTGGGGGCCAGGGGAAAGGTCACGAATACCTATAGAACTAATGGGGGAAAATTGCATTTTCCTTTGTGTTTCCGATACCCATTCTCCATCTGTATCCTTTATTTATTTATTTTTTCGTTGTTTTATCTCACGGCTCGTGGCAAGGGCAAAATCGACTTGTGGCGGTACTTTGAAATTTGGAGTGAGGATAATGTTCGTGCGTGTTCGTACGATTTCTATCTAACCTTGGCATGTTACTACTCAGATTGAAAGCCGGCCGGCCGGCTCGTGTAAAGGTTAGCAAACTTTATTGGTTTCAAAAATTTCCCAAAATTGTGACATAGCAACACTTTACTCTTTCTTGCACAATTGAATTTCAAGGAGTCATTTATGTCACATACCAATAAATCATCAATATCATGTTACCTATTCCTTTGCGGTCAAGTTGTCTTTCGATTTGTGTGGTTAATTCTGATGGTTCAGTTTGTAAAGCAAAGTTACCTTGTATCTTGACTTCCAACTTGAATTATAAATTCAATGACAACGTCACCACACAACTTGTAATATATCAAATCGTTTTTTAATTGCAAATGGTACTTATTACAATATGTCTTATATGTTCTTCATTTATATCATATATCCTACAAAAAAGAGAACTTTAACTTCTTTATGTCAAGTGTCTATAGACTTATTTCTTAATGTTTGTGTGATTCCATACATACATTGCGCGATGGACATATTTTGGATCGATTTTGAATACGTTAAATATTTTACATGATATAGATTTGTAAGGGATATGTCTTTATTATGTCATTATGTATTGTTAATAATAAAATATTAATTTAATATTCGCGTCTACAGGGTGTTTTAGGTTGAATGTTATTAATTATGGAGATATGTTTTTACATCCTGTTACAGTTATTTAATGACTGCGAAATTAAACAAGATGTTATTATATTTGTGACATGTGTTGCAACGATTAGGAACACTTCATGCTTGTATAAAACCAAATAAAGTTATCAACACAACAACCAACAATTTTTTTTATTTTTATAGGTATTTTGAAACACTACAGAAATGTCCTTCACTCGTGTTCTTGAGATTTCCAATCAGCTTCCTACCTATGAAGATACAATACAATGAAGCAACACTAATTCATTGTTTGACAACTTATGATCAACTCTATAATCTGACTCACCTAACTATAATCACCTTGGGATTGAAGGCAAATGAAATCGTGCCCCTACAACTAATCAATAAAGCTTACGCACCAAGAATGATATTGATTATTAATACGGCATAAAACATATTTCAAGAAGCGACATGGTACCTTATCAATCAGTAATTAATATGAAGTATAGATTAGGTACCATATGAATGAAGCATGTGGCAAACAAGATATTGGTGATTATCATAAAAACAGTATTTGGAGTAACTAATTGATCCCTGATGTGCATCTAGGTACTCCAGGTACGCCAATATATCTCTTACGCTACGAAGTAGCACGACTTAGCAGGCGCGTAAAAGCAACTAGGAGCAATGCACAAAATAAGTTATGATGTAGTAGGGATTAAATTTGAATTAACAAATTTATATAGCTACAGGGATTATATTGCATATTGCAGAGAAGATACCACCAGTGCCATAAATATAGTATTTAGAGTGTATGTATCAGCCAATCGATCTACTATGCATAACACATATCTAAGTGAGCTTCAGTCACGTAATCACATCTCTTCGATGCGATGCAAAAGTAATTAAAAATTACTTACTAACCTTACTGACTAAAGGATATGGTCCTAGATGTACAATAATCATCGTTTGATCGAAATCTGTCATCAACTCTATATTTGATCCCAACCTAATCTACTAGCATCCATTACCTCTCCAACTTTCCATGATATCGCAAGTTTGTTAGAATATATGTTATATCACCACTTATTGTTAGTATAATTCAGAAAAGTAGGAATTTAGTCTTTACATTCTTCTTCAAATCATGATGACAATATTGGAACTATATTCGCCCAAAATCCTTAACGTTGCGTTTCAGCAATCTTCAACAATTCTGAGTTTTGAGGTTTCTAATTATTTTCATAACCACTATAAGAAATTGTCAAATATAAAGAATTTTGGACCGATGTTGTGGAAATCACAGTCTGCATGGTTTCCTTAAACGATTGTAAGTACGAAAAAGAATACGAATTAGTAAAAAAATAACATTGTGCTTTAGTTTTTACGTTGTTTTTGCTCCTACAGCTAAAAGTCTAACTACTCCTGATATACAGGGTGAGTCAGAAAGAATGGGAAATCCGAATACCGGAGATACTAGACACCAAAATATGATGATTTAACCTAACATCTCTTATACAAATGTCAGTGGTTTTCGAAGCACAAGCTGTTGAAAGTTAAATTCTTATTTCTTGATAATTTTGAAGCTTTTTGTACTATTAAGATAAAATTTGGCAGTTTTATATTTTCGAGCGTGAGAAATACGAATTTGAAACTTATTTTGTTATTGCTCGTAGAGACATACACACTGCTCGTTTGATAAATCAAATCATAAGTTTTTTGGCTGTCGAGCTACGACCAATAAGAGCTACAAATCACAAAGAGCATTAAATCTCTCTGATTACAGTAAAATATACAAAACATTTAATCTACCCTTTACTTACATAAACGCAATATTATTTCAAAGATACATCTTGTGTAAGTTTACCATCCAATTCCTACCACAGAAGAAGATACTTACAATCTCAAATGTCAAAAACCAAAAGAACTTTCATAACACTGTCAAAACGTTTCAACACTTCATCAATGGAATACCAACCTCGATTTTATCTACATTTGTTTGTATGATAAATTGCAATTATTACTACTTCTTCCAATGTCCTAATGAATGTAAGATTAACATTTTTTAATGACTGCTTCTAATAGATGAGCAATAATAGTGTATGAAATCTATGCAAACATCTTCTTGGCGTCTGGAATATAATTTTAAGTTTTCTTCTTGGTATCTGTGCAGTACTATTGTAGACTTTTTATTACACTCTGAACTCTACATAAGCAGTGGACGTTTCCTCTAAGACATCTATGAAATAATCATTATAATTGCAGACTTCTACTTGGGATCAATGAAAAAAATGTTATTCCTTGAAAAGTCTCAAATCTCTGATTATTGCAGTAAAATCCATGATTTCTATTTGTTTTCTAAAATGTGATCCAATATGATTTACACTATGATGCATATAATTTAGACTTCTTCTTCAAGTCTAAAAGCGTTCATATATGCCGTCTAATTCCAAACTTCTTCTTAGAGTGGGAACTTTATGTTGAGCAATTTTAGATTTTTCTTAGGATTCTGAAATGTATTATTTTAGACTCTGAACTCAACATTACTGGAGTCTGACTAATTTGAAATATACTTCGCGAATTTTTTTTAGGCAAAGCAAGTTATGGTCTTCTCTTAAAGAACAGGTTTTCTCTTGAAAACCATAACTTGTGATTGCTACAGTATGATATCAGATATTTTCTTGCATTCTTTTTGCTGTTCGTTACCTTGACCTACCACATCTGCCTCATTTTACTGTTTTCGTTTGAACTTAATTATTTTATCATCTAGTATGATACAGTTTGTATAAATAATATTTTAATTAAAAACAACTATAAGTAACGGATATAAACAATTTCTAACGACTTCATTTTTACCTTGACGAATGGTTAAAAAATTACTTAATTGTTAATTATATGTCTTAACATTGAACAGTGTCAATAACGGAGTTACTAATAATAAGACGTCAATAATAAGTTTATAACGACCCCGATTCTAGGTTAACATTATAAATGACTAAATTAGATTATTAATTGCCAATTAATCTGTTGTGTATGTTTTAAGTAAAAAAGTTGTTCATTGGTTCATCATTTGTATTATTAGAATTACTAGAGGATTCTACTGATGGCAGCGATTGTAAATATTGTAAATGAAAGAGGATGGTTGACTGTAAAGGTCAGAATTGTTTACTATAGTATTTCCCCGTCTGAGGGATTAATTGGAATTTATTGCGTAACGTCTTATTTTCAAATATATCTACGTTGTTTGTTACGAGTTAAATCCGCTAGAATTCAACAAGTATCCGTTCTTATATATTTTCCTCGTTTTATCGTAATCGTACGCGAATCCTTATGTAAACTTGTATGGCATTAAATCGCGCAGGATCGGGCAAGTAAACGCCTTCTGCGCAAAGTTTTATAACCCAGAGGAACAGGTTCTTACGGGATTTTTATTTTTATTTGTATTTTATGCGCGGTTTTCCCGCAACGTCCATATCTGACTATTTATAAAACGGGAAACCGTTCGGAAATGGATATTTAATGAAACCCAAATAAAAATAAACCGCCTGTTGGAATCGAAACTGCTTTAAGTTTTAATATAGGCAGGATCGTACTTGGTGCCATTTCAGTAATGTTTGGCAAGAGCTACTTGATCTAATGATAGTTTTTTCTTCTCAGCGACAAGCCAAAAGGGATTGGCACTAATTTGAAAAATTACCAGAACCGCACAGCGAATCGCCTAAAGAGTTGACACATCGCGTTGTTATTTTCACCACGAACACACACGCGTCATTTAGCATGTTACTATAATTAGATTGTATACTTTAATAACAAAGTACAACTATTTATAAATAGAACTAAATCATTCAGACAACTTTAACATTATTATTCAAATTTATACTTAAATTAATGTACGAAATTAAAAATTGATTTAGAATTTTTATTTTTTATTACATGACAAAA